AGCGCGCCTTCACCCCCCAACACATGCCCTACTACCACGCAGATAAACCCTTAGTAACAACAGCAACAGACTACAGCTGAGCGAGATGCAGGAGACAGACTCTCCCTGGGGAATGGCACAGAAAGGAGCCCCAAAGCCAAGAAGGGAGACAAAATAGGCTGCTATAGGCATCTGAACCCTCTGGCATCCATGGACACAATAAACATCAAACACAGCCCAAATCCTTGTCAGGGCGACATTAATCCTCACTAACTATTGTCATATACAATATGTCAAGCTATCAACCAAAAATTAGAAAACATGCCAAAATCACAGTCTGAAGAGGCAAAGCAATCATCGCAATTAGACTCAGATATGACACAGATTTTAGAATTGTCAGATGGGTGAAGTCAGCAGAGACAGGGAAACTAGAGCAAAGAATTAAAAGGAAGTGGCAGAAATCTAAAAGAAAGCAACAGATACAAGGAATACCTTTTGTGGACTCATCAGTATATTCAATATAGCCGAGGGAAAAAATTAGTGAACTTGAAGATAGGTCAATAGAAATCACCTAAACTGCAAGAAGAATAAAGAATTAAAATAAAAACCAGAACTGAACATTCAAGAATCATGAAGCAATATCAAATGGTGTTAACATATGCATAACTGAGATACCAGAAGGAGAATAAAAGGACAACAGAAGAGAACTATTTGAAGAAATAAGGACCAAAAATTTCCCAAAATTAGTGAAAGATACCAAACAACAGATCCAAGAAACTCAAAGAACACCTAGTAGGATAAATACCAAACACACATGCACACGCATGTAGGCAAACTGCCAAAAACCCAGGAAAAAAAGATAAAATCTTGAAGACAAACCAGAGTGGGGAAAAAAAACCTCCTTACTTACAGAGGAAAAATATAAGAATTACAGTAAGTGTTGTCTAAGTGGATGGTTGGTTTGTCCCTAAATATTTGAGGTCCCCAATGAAACTAACTTTAGTACTTTTTAAAAGCAAGAACTAGAAACAGCTCATGGTCATTGCTACTCTAAGTTATGACTGATATATTTAATTGAGCAGCAGGTCTCAGACACTGGATTGTTATTGGAGGACCCTGTATCCATCACTCTTCAAGCTCAATATGTTCATTTACTCTTTAATGCTTCAATTGACCCTCATCTGTTGATGGCGGTATCTGTTTAATTTTCCAACTAAAATATTGTTCTTGAACCCTGGAAGTTGTCACATAGTTCCTACGTGAAGGTCTAAAAGGAACTCATTGTGGAACAGAGAGTTCTTTGTATGACTATTACACAACTTTGGGAGGTCTTCAGAAATTCAGTAGCAATACTCCCTTCTGATATTCAAAATAAGGTAGAGCTGGGGCTCGCTGTGTTGGCCAGCAAACAGAATAGAACTCAGTTTCTGTTGCTTTGTAACTATCTGTACCATTCTAGTTAAATAAACTAGCTTAGGACATGGCAGTAGCTTAGGACCTGTTTATGAAATGATATTTGCAGGCTTTCTTGACCTTGAACTTTGCACACAGCTCATTGCATCTCTACTTTGTGATCTAGACATCTTCCCCTTTTTGAGAGTGCTTCTGTTAGTTTTCTACAGAATGAGTGGGAGCAACATCTGTCCCGTGATCATGGTGCCATCCACAAACTCTTCATCTGTCATTTAAAATGCCAATGAGCAAAATGAAAGTTAGGTGTTCAGGCCTTAGACTTGAAAAGTCTTTTTCCTTAGTGTTAAGAATGGGAAAACAGCTTCTTACAGATAATGGAAAAGATAATGGAAAAAGCAATTTCCTAACAATGGTTTACGCACTGGTGTTCACATATTTGGACACATAAGACATATTAAACAGTTAAGAAATTCTTCTGGCAGGTTGATCTTCATCCTAGAAGTGAATTCTGTACTTTGTCCTGGGCTGAATTTATACACAGAGAACACTCACCAACCTAGAATATGTAAGTTAGCTCCCTTGACAGGTTCCAGAGAAACCTGGGGCAGACTAAAGAGAAAAATCTCAATGGAATAGCGTAGAAAGCAAGAAATGCTTGAATATGTAACACCAACTTCTACCTTTATTCATATGTAAGCACTCTTCTTTTTCAAAGAAATCAGAGGGAAAAGGAGTTAATAAACTTCATCCTATAAAAATGCGAGTATTAAAGAAGAAAGCCAGCATTTAATGTGCCTACTATGTGGCAAGCTGTGTGTTTGTATCTGCTCACTCTGCCAGCTCTGTCATCAGCTACATAGCAGAAGAGCCTTGTTTTTTTCTCTGTTGAGCAAAGCCTGTTCTGAAAGAGGCAGGGTTTCAACTAGATCTGGGAAGTCAAATATATATTCTCCTCCGTGCCAAGGGAGATCATTTTATAGGAGTTGCCTGGAAAATTCAGTGGCCTAATAAATGTTTAAGAAAGATAGTTCAGATAGTTGGAATGGTCAAAATCCATTTAAGAGAGGCTATAATTTTAAAAATTATGAATCATTTTTTTCTTTAGAGACAAGAGACTGGAATTTGCCCCTAGGGCTGCCTGTCTTTTGGTTCTGGAAGTGACCCCTTTGAGGCTGATATCTTTATGCAATGATAAAGTAAGACTCTTATTCTGAGATGAAAAAAATTGAAGGCAGTAAGTAGCTAAGATATTTGCATTTTAGGTTTAAATATTGTCATCATTATGGGCAGAGTTGCATTTCTGAAGCTTATTGTCCATTTATAGGAAATTTGGGAGTTCCCTCTGGGAACCTCACAGTTGTGATCATTTAGATTCCAGATAGGGGAAACCAGCTGGAGGGCACTTCCAGAGAAAAGGGGGGTAGCTTGTCCCTTGCAACCCGGCAATTGGCTAAGGCTAATAAACCAAAAGGGAAACTTCTAGAGAAGAAACTGATCCATGCATCTGGGGAGCAATAGCATTTGGTATCTGGTGTCCATGTTATTTTATGTTATTGTCATTGACATTGTTTCCCACACTATTATTGGCAAGGTTTCAATACATTGTTCTTAAACACAGCTTGGTCAGAGTTGTTTTGCTCTGGGAAATGAAAAGTCAGGTGTGTGTGCACACTTGGAACAGAGGCAGAAAGGCGAAGAACAGCATAAGGAAAGCTGGTTTCTGGGTGAGAAAGAAGACATCCAGTGAAGTGCAACAGTGGTCAGGAGCTAGGCCTGAGGGAATGCAGGACAACCAAGATGAGCTATGGACCTTGGGAAGAAGACTGTAGAAAAAACTGAGATTCCTGCCATCAAACATGAGAAATCAAACTATTCATGTATAAGTGAGATCATACAGTATTTATCTTTCTCTAACTTATTTCACTTAGCATAATGCCCTCAAGGTCCATCCATATTGCTGCAAATGGCAGGATTTCTTCCTTTTTAGGGCTGAATAATATTCCATTGTATATATATATACACACATATGTATGTATATGTATGTGTGTGTGTGTGTATACATATATATATATATATATACAGTCATACATATACATGCATATACTTGTTTTCATAGTCTTTTTCACTATAGGTTAGTGCAAGATATTGACAATAGTTCCCTGTGCTCCACAGTATAAACTTATTGTTTATCTATCTTATGTATAGGAGTTAGTATCTGCAAATTTCAAACTCTCAATTTATCCCTTTCCACCCCCATCTCATTGTGGCTTTGATTTGCATTACCCAGATGATTAGTGATGCTGAGCACCTTTTAATATACCTGTTGGCCATTTGTATGTCTTCTTTGGAAATTGTCTATTCAGTTCCCCTGCCCATTTTTAATCAATTAAGTTGTATGAATCATAGATATATTTTGGATGTTAACTTCTTACCAGATACATAATTTGCAAATATTTTCTCCCATCTGGTAGGTTACCCTCTCATTTTGTTGATGGCTTTCTATGCTTTGCAAAAGCTTTTTAGCTTGATGTGGTCCCCCTTGCTTATTTTTGCTTTTGTTGGTTTTGCTGTTGTTGTGAAATCCAAAAAAATTTTTGCTGAGACCTATGTCAAGGATCTTATTAGCACCTATGCTTTTTTCTAGAAGTGTTATGGTTTCAAGTCTTAAAATTATGTCTTTAGTCCATTTTGAGTTGATTTTTGTGTATGGTGTGAGACAGGAGTCTAGTTTCATTCTTCTGCATGTGGCTATTCAGTTTTTCCAACACCATTTACTGAAGAGACTTTCCTTTCCCTATTGTATATTCTTGGCTCCTTTGTCATAAATTGATTGACCATATACATGTGAGTTTATTTCTGGCCTTTCTATTCTGTTTTATTCATCTAAATGTCTGTTTTTATGCTACTGTCATACTGTTTTGATTACTATAGCTTTGTAATACAGTTTGAAATCAAGAAGTGTGATGCCTCCATCTTTGTTCCTTTTCCTCAGTATTGCTGTGGCATTTTTGGGATCTTTCGTGGCTCCATACAAATTTTAGAATTGTTTGTTCTATTTCTGTGAAAAAATGCCATTGGAATTTCGTTAGGGATTGAGCTGAATCTGTAGGTTGCTTTGGGTAATATGGACATTTTAACAATATTAATTTTTCTAACCCATGAGCACAGAGTATCTTTTCTATTTATTTGTGTCTTCTTCAATTTCCTTCATCAATATCTTGTAGTTTCCAGTGTATAAGTTTTTCACCTCCTTGGTTAAATTTATTCCTCGGTATTTAATTCTTTTTGAGGCAATTGTAAATGGGATTGTTTTCACAGTTTTATTTAGAATTGCATAAATAAAAAGTAGAACTAGCTATACTCTTTCATTTAAAAAAATCATCTGTTAAGCATGTAATGCCCTTGAAGAGCTAGGGACACAGCAAAGTAGAAGACAGATAAGGTCCTCATGGAATTTACATTCTTATTCTCATATTGAACCAGAGTAAGTGCCAGTGTTAAAAATAGCAAGGTCTGGTCTTGTTTAACATTCCTCAAAATAAAAATTTAACTATAAATGACATTTTAAATTAACATTTTTAAGACATGGAAAAGAAAAAACAGAAAAGAAAAATCACATTGTGACCTTTCTTCAGTGGTTTAGTTTTGGATATAGAGGGTTAGACCCCTGAGTTGGCAATTTCTTTGTTTTTTACGACATTATCTACAACTCTGCACTTAATAAGAGCTAGTAGCAGTAACAACAGTGATAAAATCAACAGTGGTCAGAGACCATTTTATTCCATGAGAGCAACAGAAAGATTGATACTGAATTCAAGAGAATGACTATAACTTACCCACCAAGTTTAGCTCAGATTGCCTGGATGCATCACACATGCCGCAGTCAGGACAGGTTAGAAGGGGGCTAGGGAAGGGGTGTGTCTTGGCACCATTTCCCTCTAATGCACATTCCTGCCACTGCTCACTCAGTACAACTTCAAGGCCAAACTTGGGAACAATAATAATAGCTCTCACTATTGAGCAAGTATGTATAGTAACTCATTTAATCCTTACAACAACCTAGGAGATAGCTAGTCTTATTATCTCCATTTCACAGACAAGGAAGTTGAGGTAGAGAACACAACAGATGAGGGCTGGCACCGGGACAGGAAGTAAGCCGGCCCCAGAGTCTGTGTGATTAACAGCACTCTCTCTCTTACCTCCCAACTGTTCTCTTCCCACTGAAGCAACTTCCCTCAGCTTCCTGCCACTGGTATCCTGTGCCTTACTTGGGTACAGAAAAGTCTCCATATTCCATCCAACATCTCCAGCCCTGCCAAACCAAACGGCCTGTGTTGACCATGCACTGGGGACCCACTTTCTGTTTAGATCACAGAGGATAACAGTTTTTCTTTTTAATATGACTTCTCTGATTACAAAATACCGTTTCTTTACAAAATAGTTAAAAGAGGAAAAAGCTTTTATAGCTCTGAATCCTAGATATTATACACACACACACACACACACACACACACACACACGTGAGTCTGAGCCACTTAACATTATAAGATATGTCACAGCAGAAGCTGTCACCCTGCCTATCAGTGTAGCGAACCAATCTATGTTTACAGTTAGCTTATAAACTGGGCTACCCCTTCCATGTGCTTAAGCATTTAAGTCAATACAAATTCACACAGTTCCTTAGGAAATCCTTATAAGTTCAACAGGACAGGAATTAAGGAAGAAGTAGAACCGTCATATATCCCAAATCCATAACATGTAAGAGATTATTTCCTTGTTAGTTAATGATGAAATCTGAACTTAGCATCAGCTTTATCTTTGACCCAGGTGAGCTCCCCAGTTCCCAAGCTCCTTTGGCTTGTCCCTGGGGATGTAGGACTATGGTTATGTATCAATCAAGTTGCAACCAAAGAAACAGAACCACTAGAAGAAATGTACAAGCACATCTGTCTTCTGCACAGGCCAAATATGTGAACTGCATGTGGCGGGCATGACCACCACTACATCTTTCAAGTCCTTGATGGTGGCACTAATTTCTGAAGTTGTTCAAGGAATGCAGTCCTAGTTTTGGCTTACTGTTTTTGCAGGTAGAAACAGTTCTAGTGGCTTCCACTTGGCCTTTCCTACCATAGTATCTCTCATTCCACAGGTTAGATATGGGGATATGCCAATTTCTGAGTATTTCTATTCCAATTATGCATCAAAAACTAAAGAAATATAAAAAACTAAAAATAGACAAAGCAATCCCATTCCTGGGCATACATCAGGAAGAAACTAATTTGAAAAGGTACGTGCACCCCAGTGTCAATAGCAGCACCATTTACAGTAGCCAAGACATGGAAGCAACCTAAATGTCCATCAGCAGATGACTGGATAAGGAAGTAACGGGTTACTACTCAGCCATAAAAAAGAATAAAACAATGCCATTTGCAGCAACACGGATGGACCTGGAGATCAGATCATCATACTGAGTGAAGTAAGCCAGAGAGAGAAAGAAAAATATCATATGTTATCACTTATCATGTGGTATGATAAATGACACAAATGAACTTATTTCCAAAACAGAAACAGACTCATGGACATAGAATATAAACCTATGGTTACCAGGGGCATGGGGATGGGGAGGGACAAATTGGGAGTTCGGGATTTGCAGATACTGACTACTATATAGGAAATAGATAACAAGGTCCTACTGTACAGCACAGGGAACTATATTCAATAACTTGTAATAGCCTATAATGAAAAGAATAAGAAAAGGCATATATGTATATATATATGAAAAGGACAATATATATCTGAATCACTATGCTGTACACCAGAAATTAACACATTGTGAATCAACTACACTCCAATAAAAATATATATATTTTAAAAACTAAGGAAATAATCACAGAATGGATCCAAGCATCCACTGATCCTACTGCATGATGTTCTTGAACAAAATTACATTGATCACTAGATCTTTCATAAGCCCCTATTACGACTGGTAGGCATTAAAGGACCACAGTAGCATTTTGGGTCTCTAGAAATTGGTGCCAGTTTAAAGCAAGTATCCAGTCATCCTTCCCAAATCTGATTATTTCCCCTTCCCTAATGTACAGTCACCTCGGTAACTGGAGAAAGAGAGGTTCCTTTGGAGGAAGTTAGGAGAACCATGGATGGAATACATTTTTGGCAGTGTGGCAGGGCCCCTCCTAAAGGGGACCCAGGTTCCTCTTTGCTCACATAGCTCTGAGTCTACAAAATGGCTCAAATACAAAAATTCATGGAGAGGCTGTGGATTTAAAGTGTCCACACTTCCTTGGTGCTTTGCAGAGGAAGTATCAGGGCTTGGAGAGATTGGAACGTCAAGGTGAACTTGTCACATAAGCCCTGCTCAGCCACCCCCTCTCTACAGCCTTTGAGAGTCCGGAAGATCCTCCCTTTACCAAGGTTTGAGTCATGCCCAGCACAGTGGAGCAGCTAATGCCTGTGCTGTGATCACATGAAGCCACGAATTCGGCCAGTTCACACAGATGCAGGGTCAGGCAGCAACACTGGGGAACAAACTAAAGAGCCAGAGATGTGAACATTCACACGCAGCATTCCCATGATGTTTGTCTGGGGACAGACTTCATTCATTATCAGGGGTAAGACAATCATTCTTGTGAGTTTTGATTAATGGATGGACCTAATAAAACTTAGATCTGCAGTACTGAAGCTTCTCTACTATGTTCAGGGATTGATTTCAGTGCACCGGAAATCAGGCTTAATGGAGAAAATATGGAATCTGCCTAGTCATAGTCTTAGTTAGACCCTCCTTTGTTTCTTTGCAAGTAGGGGGTGCAGATTATCTTTGCTCATCACAGATAGCTTTTCTATCAGTAAACCTCGCAGGCCTTGAAGGGACACTCTGCTGCAGTGACGAGAAAAGAGATAAACAGAGAAGGACAATAATTATTTTCATCAAAGGACTATTGAAGGTAAGAGCTTGAGACATGAAAGATTTAGCAATCAGAACCGACACTATAAAAGTACGTGTGTGTCTCACGTACTCTGTGGTGTTTCCCCGGTGATAGCTTTGGGTAGCTTCCATGATGCCTGCACAACCACACCTCTCTCTCTCTCTCTCTCCCCTTCTCTCCTCACTGCATCCCTCAGCCCTCTTCTACAATAATCTTTCTCACATACTCATGATTTGTCGGTTTAATACTACTTCCTGATACCTGCTTTGAACTGTCTAGTCTGTTTCTGAATACCTATTTGTCTCATTATCTGTATCAGATAAAAATATTACTGGGGTTCACATTTTTCCCATGAAAAGAATTCACCACCTGAGTCTCAGTTTTCTCATCACTTCCCCTCATCACCTGCCCAATTCAAAATAAAATGCTATCCACCCTAATATAAATAAATAAATAAAATCATGGCCCCAGGGTATTTCAGATGGAGCTTGGACTCCAGTGGACTTCAGCAGATCTTGCATAATATTACTTTTAAGGCAAGAATTTGCTCTTCAATATTCAGATACAAATATTCTCTACAGCATGACTTTTCCTTTTGGGATTAACCTCAGTGTCATTCATTGAATGTTTTCCAATTCAGCATTTTTCTTTGGCGTCTGTGAAATATCACGAGATCTTTTGCAACATTCCAAGCAAGATGCTGCATGAAATCAGGTCTGATGTCGTATGAAACCATTAAAAAGCATAAAAATCACTCTGCTGTGTGTGATTAATACTTCTTTACATGAGTCCCTGGGTTTTTAACTTCAGGTTGTCAATACAGCTAATGTTGGTTTTACCTGAATTAAAAATATCCTCACCATTGTTGCTTATCGAGTGATACAAAATTGTAACTATAATCAACTATGCAGGCACAATTCTTGATCCCTATAAAAACCACAGCCTTCAAAAGAAACAGCTGCTCATATATTGGGAGAATTTTTGAGTTTGTCACATAATGCTTCAGCGGTGAGTCTGGGAACCTCAAGAACAAATCTGAAGTACATTAAGCACACATCCCATGATTTGATTGATTCTGAAATAACACTTCTAGCCATTTGCCTGCAGAGCCACTGCATTCTGAAAAGCAACTGAATAGTGTTCTCATTTCTAAAGCTAGTGACTTGACCACAATATTCTATAGGAAATATACTCTCAAACAGCCACCTTTCCCTTTTCTGTACTCAGATAAGGATTTAAGTGTCTACTAAGAACATCTTCTTTCCTAGAGAATGGATACTGTTAGGTTTTTTTTCTATTGAGAGCACTTGGTATTTATTGTAATGTTCTTATCAGAAATCCAACTTTCATGTATCTATAAGGATGTGGAAGAGCACTCATGAATGGGATCTTCAGATGCTCACATTTCATTTCTTTGTAACTGGATCTAAAACATGGCCATAATACTATGACAAATGTAAAAATGGATAATTTTTTTAAGAATTGAAATCCATTAAGTCATCCTTCCATGCTAGACACAATGCATTGTTAGCTGAGAACACACACACACACACACACACACACACACACAGCAATTTGAGAGCATTGATGCATGATAGTTATCAACTCATGGGCTGAACAAAATTTATTTTGCACTTTGCTTGTATATGCAAAGTGCACTATGCTTGAGCTGGGGGATATAAATTACTTTCTAGGAAATGGACTCATAACACGAACCATGGCAGTTTCTATTATCCACCCCCTTCAATTTCTCCCCATAAGCTCCTCCCAAAATAAAATTTGTTTCCACCTACTTTGCCTTAGGAAAGAACAGTTAACATCTCCTCCAACCTTAGCCACCTATTGTAATCAACTGGGGTGAACTTCTGCTTTTAATTTCTCTCTTTATTATATTCTTATGCTTCTTTAACTCCTTGAGCATATTTATAATAACCATCTTAAAGTTCTTATCTGTCATTTCTGAGGATGTCTCTATTGACTGATTTTTCTCCTTGTTTTGGGAGAAAAATGTTCATGCTACATCACATGTCTAGAAATTTTTGATTGGATGAAATCATTGTGTATTTTAAATTGCTGAGTAATTAATTCAGTTGCCTTCCTTTAAGTTTTGGGCTTTGTTCTCAGAGGCAGTGATTTGTGGGTCAGCCTGATCCTCTTGAGGCTTGTTTCTAAGATCTGTTATGGTCAATGCAGACTCTCTTACTTGGGGGCTAGTCTAGCACTATTTCTAAAGCATGCTCCATCTGGAGTGTCTGCTGAATGTCCTGAGTGTTCACTAAGGACTCCACGTTCTGGCTGGTCAGAACTGAATGTCTTCCAACCTTGTGGGAGCCCTAGGGACTTTTCAGCTCACAGCTACCTGACAGGTCGTGCTTGGACTTACAGAGTTTCTACCTACATACACATGGCTTCATATCCAGCAACACTCAAGAGACACCTTATGCAGATTTCTCTGTATAGCTCCCTCTTCTCTGAGACTTTGGCCTACAGATTCTGGCTACGTCAGCTTTCCTGACCTCTGGTGTGCTTAAGTTGGTGTGCTATGCTTCAGACCCTTCCTTCCTGCCCAAGTCAAAGGTGTCTTCAGGAAGAAAACTGGGAGATCCGTTTCCTTTCTCTCTGGAATCACAACTCCGTGCTTCATGTTGTCTTACTTTATATATTTTGTCAGGTTTTCCAATTGTTTACAGCAGAAGAGAAACTCCAGTTCCAGTTACTACATAACAGACAGAAACTTAGGGTACTACTAAAATATCTCTATGACCAGGCTACACCCACAGAGGTTCTAACTTACTTGCTGGAGATGGAGGTCTGAGCTTTGGTGTTTCATTTAAAAGTTCCCCAGGTTACCCTAATGTTTATTCTGGACCAAGAGCTGCTGACCAGAGGAAATCCCTGTACTGGGCTTGTAGGACAGATCAGGTTCATGTAATGAGAATAAGTGAAAGAGGCTGAAATCAGAGAAGGCTCATCTTCAGGAACAGGTCATCTCTTGGGGATGGGGAGTTGTGAGAGGCGTGAAGAAGAGCAATCCTACTGCCTCCTCAAGCATGATTACACATGAGCTGTTCTATACACCTCCTTTAAGCTTCCCTTTTCTTCTTTTTCCCTCCCCTTTTTCTTCTTCTCAGAGTGGCTGGGTGGAGGGACACCCAAATAAGAATTAACAGGAGACTCTCCTTGGCTGCATAGTGGAAAACCTGTGAATGAGTCAAACTGTATCTCCAAAAAAGGTGTTACAGTCCCAAACTCCAGCACCTGCGAATGTGACCTTATCTGGAAATAGAATCTTTGCAGATGATCCACATTAGGGTGAACCTTAATCCAGTATGGCTGGTGTTCTTATTAAAAGAGGAAATTTGGACACAGAGACAGACCTTGCAGAGTAAAGATGATGCAAAGACACAGGAAAAAAGCCATCTATGAACCAAAGAACTCCTGAGGCTATCAGAAGCCAGGAGAGAGATATGGAATACTCTTTCATACCCCTCAGGAGCAACCAACCATGTTGGCATCTTGATCGCAGACTTCTAATATCGAGGACTGAGACAATAATTTTATGTTTAAGCCATCCAGTCTATGGTATTTTTTTGTACAGAAGCCATAAAAACTAATATATGTGACAATATTTTAAAAATACACGTGTCAGGCATTAGCCCCAGACATTCTGATTTATTTTATCTCAGAAACAGTCTAAGAATAGGCATTTTTCAAGTTTTGCCAGGTGAGGTGCAGCAAGTTTGAGCAGCACTGTTCAGGGGATCTAGGCTGCCGCTGGTAGAGAAAACTCATCACAGTTTATTGTCTTCCCCCTTTGCTCTCCCCCAGCGGACACTCCTGGATATTGACTGATTTCTTCAGGATCACCAAAGTTGGAACCCTGGGTATAGCTTCTTTCTAGGGCTTCTTGCATAATGAAGCCACCTAGAATCCACGATTTCTAGGCTCCAAGAATTAATATGTGAAATGTAGTCACATTACAGCTGCAAAAATCTACTAGGTTTATGTTAATAGAACTTTTTTTTTTTCATAGTTTTATATGGTCTGGAAACAACTGCCAAATCACTTGCCTCTGCTTTCACTTGAGTGCTGTGTGCGCTGCTGATGTCCACTGGCTCGCACCCAGGCAGGCTCTGGCTCTTGAAAAGTTGTTATTTTGGGGAAGCCCTCCTTGACCCTGAGGTCCTGTTTGTGTCTGGGGTTCCCAGCCCTTTTCCATTATCTCCCCGACCCCATGCACCTGTGTGGGAACTGAGACCAACATTAACCTTCTCTAGGCTAGGCAACTGAGATTCCACACCTCATCACGTTTGGTTATTACTTCTAGGAAACAGTCTTGCCAAGGATAAAAAGCTAACATGAGTCATTATCATTTTTCTTTGATGAATAACTAACCATGGAGACTGGTCATCCTGAGATAGTCAGAGTAGCATTTCCTGTAGTAAAGATGTCCCAGAAGATGTCAGACAGCAAAGAGGCAACAGGCCAAATGGCTAACAAAGTGTTATGCTTGTCAGGAAATATTCTGGGACATTTAGCTGCTTGTTTTTATATCTATGGGACATTCCAGAATGCAATCAAATCTAAACAGACGAATCTTTGGTTATGGCATGAAAGCAGTGATCACAATGAAAACTTCCACCCCATGTCCTACCTACTTCTATTCATGGCATGACTATTCCTCCTGACACCCTAGCTTGAATTTCAGTTCCCTTTCTCTGCCATCTCCCTCCATTTCTGCGTCTCAACAAGTATTCAGTTCAATTCAACACGTATGGGCTGAGCATCTACAGGGTTCCAAGTATTTTCTAATGCTAAGGAGATGATTTTACGTAACTTAGTTCTTGTGAAGGAAGCAAATAATAAATTTACAATAATTTGCATAGTTATACGCACTATGAAAAAATACAATTAAGGACAGAAAATAATAGGAGAGTGCTACTTTATTTAGGGTGAACAGGGAAAAACTCTGATATGGTAACACATGAACAGAGAAGTGAAGGAAGTTAGAAGCAAGCCACGTGGGCACCTGGGGAAGGAGCATTCTAGGCAGAGGACACAGTGATTGCAAAGGCTTTTTAAATCCCAAGGAAAGCAGACATACAGAATCTGCTTATTCATTTTTGTTTCCTCAATGCCAACCCCAGGCACTTGAGTGTAGTCCATGCTCAGCATTTTTTCATTTACTTGAATGGAGAAGGAAAGGTAAACAAGAAGGCAGGTACCCAGCTGCCACATCTGTTATCACTAGTATGACTACAGCAGTTGTTTAAGGTCGGCTTCTGATCTGATTGGTCAGCGCTCATGCTGAGCGGTCAGTGCCTGAGCCAAAACAGTTGGCAAATATCTTGAATCTCAGTCTTTAATAAAGGAGCAGTAGTTACACTACAGTTGCAGAAAATATCCTCTTAGCTCCAGGCCAAGGACTGTAGATTGAAAAAAAAAAACTTGCTATATGAGAATATAAGAAAGAAAGGACCAATGCCTATGACATATTTAAGGCAGGGGATATAATGAAAATGGACTTCTTTAAATTCAGATATGAATTTAGGAGTCTCTAGAATGCCTAACACAGTGCCAGCACATTGTTGGCTGTTAATATCTGTTGGTTGAATCAGTGAGAGGAACTCAAGAGATGTTCTCCAAATCACAATGTTAATGCCATGGAAGGTAGCCATGTCACTCAACATCTTTTGATTTACTAAGAAACAGCAGGTACTGGACAGACTTAGTTTTCTATTGTGGCAGATAATATTTTCCAAAGATGTCTTCAACAATATCTCCTTGCCCACATGTTCTTCTAGACCCTTACCATCCCCCCATCCAAAGGTAAATTCTGTGTCTCCTGTCCTCAAACCTGGGTGAGATTTGTTGATAGCCCTGACCATTAGAATACAGCAGAATGGCTGCTGGATGATTGCCAAGGCTAGGTCAAAAAATGCCATGCACTTCATTCTTTTGGGGACATGCTCAAAACCAAGACACTGTGTTGTGGGGAAATCCAAGCAACTTGCACAAAGACCCATAAGGAGAAGATCTGAGGACTCTCGGCACAAGACCTAGCGGAGCTCCCAGCTGAGAGTCAGCACAGGATCGCCAGTCATGTAAATGAACCATCTTGAGATGGATCTCCCAGCCCCTCCTAGAGCTGCGCCAGCTAGTGCTGCATGGAGCAGAGATGCACTGTCCCTGCAAGTCCTACATGAATTACAGATTCATGAGAAAAATGAATGACTAGTGGAGTTTTTAGGCATAAGTTTTGGGATGATTTGCTATGCAGCAGTGGGTAAACAGAAGAGCTACTGGAGACACAGATGGCCGCTCCAAATCATTTATATTGGTATATTCCTAGGCTCGGCTCCTGGAAGTGAGAATTCGGGGTTCACAGTAGTAGACCAGACTAGGAGAAACGTGTGAGAGGTGTAATTGTAATTCCCTCCGTAAAGGAACCTGGCTGGGGAGATCATAAGAGTAAGAAGTCATCTGAAATGTTTTCTAAGTTGATTAAGAAGCTGATTAGATATTTAAAGGAGTAGACTTACTTGGATTGTTAGCCTAATTTGCACTGTTTATTATTTATGTAGTTACCTTCTTGAGTTATGTTTCTAATACTTTCATATCTCTTAAGTCTGATTCATTTAGAGGACTTGACTCTTGAAATGGAAATAAAAAGAACCTTGGAATGTTGTAAGAATCAGATGCCCAAGACCAAGAATAGCAAATTAAGAACTGGAGGAAGAATGCAGGTATGGGAAAGGGTACCTTGATCAACTAGTGACGCTGCCCATGGGTTCAAAAGGGACGCACGGAAGTGCCAAAATCAGTTGTCTGCTACCATAGCCATAGGTCCTGCGGCCAGTGGACTTCATGAATACCAGACAATAGATAACTGAATGCAGTGAAATGCTGTAGAAGTAGTTCCAGGGGGTCAGGCTGTTCTCCAAACCGTAATTCTGAGTAGTGATTCCAATGAGGAAGAAATGACGAAGCAGCCTAAAAATTAATGGCTATGCAGAGAACTTTTTACGAAGCTTAAAGCTGAAAAGGAATGCGCAGAAGATAGAAAGAAAGGCACATAACCCAGGATCAACAAAAGAATGCAGCAGGAGTGATGTCCAAAATGTTAATGCTGGGAATGAGCTGGGAAACTTTGCAAACCTGGAAAGAGCATGGAAAGGATTTTTTAGTATCGGGGCAAGAATAATAAAGAAAGGATAGAACTGTGAATTTTATAGGTGACAGGAAGATAGCAAAACTTGTGAGACTTCCATCCCCTCTGCCAAAACAATTGATCTTTCAACTGAAAAGGCTGAAACAAATATCGGAAAAAGAGAGTGGGACTGAAGCTCAGGGCAGGCCTGGTACTTGTAAGAACAAACCTACGGGGTCTAAAGAGTTCAGGGATCATACTTAAAAACAGCTGCATCCCAGAGACTAACAGGAGATCAGCTAACTCCTGTCAGTCATCACTGTGGCATCACTGAGAGTGGGAGAGTACTTAGTAGAATTCAAATATTTTCAGAATATTGATTTGGCAACGCATAGATCAACGAGTGTGAAGTTGGTATGAGGCAGCATTCTAAAAGATATCATTAAAAGGAGCTAGTGTAAGTTTTCTTAGGGAAAGCCTTACTGAAAAGCCTCACGTCATTTTTAACAGGGTTTCTAGAGTAATTAGTCAAGGGAACACATAGCACTGTGCATCTGAGTTTTAGCGAGTTTCTCAGCAGAATCTCAGGGCATCCTTGAAGTCAAAACCAGAGCAGGTGGTTGATGACTGCGTCTGCTGTCTTCCTGAATGGAGGCTCCTCCTGCCACATGGTAGGGCTCCTTCTTCAACCACATCCCACTAAGCATTTTCCTAATGACATACTGATCACAAGTGTGAATGACTGGTAACTAAGACAAGGTCATAACATTGCATGGATTTTGTAAGGAATGCAAAAAGCATGATGCACTGAAGGTGGCACAGCTCATAGGCACGTGGGTGTGATTCTGTACTCCAAAGAAGTCCACTGAATGAGAGAGATGAGATCTCTGTTGACTGCAACTCAGCAGTCAACGCTGAGACCACAGTACCCACCCATTCCTCTGTTCCTTGGAACCTAAAGAAAGCAGAGCTCAAATTCGAAAATTGAGAGTTGTCCCTTCTTGTCATTTAGACGTCATGTACTTCCCAAACTTTTTCTCAGGTAGCCAGACAGCCTTCCTAGAGCCGTTTGCTCTGAATTGTTTTAACAGAAGATGTGTGACGGACAATAAAGCTTCAGACAGTAGGATTTAGGTTATTTTTCACCAGCGATTATCTTTTTCACTCCTTTTTTGTAAGTGGGGTAAATGTTTCAAAAAATTAATTAAGGGGCCCAAGAGTAGCAATAAATGAAGAACCAGGTCCCAGAAGAATTATCTTCCCCTGATGATTAAGAATCATAATAATTAATTAATTTATCACATTTATTAAAATTATTACAACTCTTCGATGTCTCACCAAAAAGTGCAAGTCATCACATCATTATTGTGATGTCTTCCTTTCTTAATTAATTAATCAGTCGATTAAAGTATTTATTGCAAGAAAATCTCTTGTAGAAAGTTAGAAAATATAGATCAATAAGAATAATAAAATAAAAACACAAGACATCTGCACTAACACTAGCCTAAGCCTAGAGATCTTTTTATGTATATTATATGCAAATGCATACATTGTATATAATATATGTGTATTAAAATAGTTCTGTATTTTAAATTCAAAATCAGAGCATATCACACATGCTGTATTATAATCTACTTTTTCATTTACCGATCTCTACCTTTCCACACCAGCAAATGCTTATTTTACCTAATTCCTAATCTGGTTTTGAGTTTGCCCAGTTGTGCCAAAAAGTCCTGTAGCGGTTAAGCGGCTCAGACCAGGTCCAGCCCAGCACCCGCTGCATCTGGCTGTTCTGTCTGTTACCTCCTCTTTCATCTAGCACATCACCCCATCCAACTATGTTTTATGACACTGACTCACAGAGCTGTTTTTCCGCAGCTAAAGGCTTAAAGGATTCAAGTTAAACATTTTTGGCTTGAACACACCATAGGTGATGTATTGCATCATAACAGAGACACATGCTCTCTGGTTGCCTCGTAAGAATGTTGAATTTTTGTTTTAAGTGGGAAGGTTTGTGTATAATAAAATGGTTTTACACTGGAAAAAAATGATAGTATTAACCCAAAAGGAAAAATTTAAAGATTTGAAAACTGAATTTAGTGTCTAAGTCAGAAAAGAGAATAGTTGGAGGATTAGTAACTTGAAGGGGGCGGGGCACGAAAACAGCTCTTACATTTTTCCTACGTCTGTGTTAGCAGGGATGTGTCAGACATCAAACAGAGACCCTCCTCAGATTTACCACTGAAGCACTGCTCCTCGAAGGTGAGATAAGAACTCTGAGAAGGACCAGTGAGATGACGGCTGTCCGAGCCGGACTACACGATTTATAAAGAGAGGCTGCTGATTTTTTTAAATATAAATTGCCTTTGATAGTAAGAGTCTAGGATCTGATTCGAATGTAACACACTTGCCACATAAACCTGGGGCAGAATGACTTCAGTGACGGAGAGCTCCAGCGCGATCTACTCTTTTACGCTCATGTATTTACTCTGTCGGTCAAAAGCCCTGTTCTCCAAAATACAGATACGTTCGCAGGAGGTTGTAAAAGACGGTTCTTTCCCCCAGCTGCAGAGTTTCAGCAGTTTTCCCTGTGCACTAGGACAGGACTTACGTGTGTAGGAAAATGAGCCACGCGTGGCCTGAACAGAGCTGGGGCCATCTCTGCCCAGACTTTTTGCCTGTGTGGACCTCAGCGGCTGACATGGGTTAGCAGGAACAGACCAAGGAAGCCAAGAAGAAAGATTGCTGCCGTTTGATCTAAAAGAAAAAGGAAGATAATAGTTATAGGGAGGAGGAAGCAACACATGGGAAGGTTGCTGGAGGCTCTCTGCATGTTGGGAAAAGGACTGAAAGCTTTACCCAGCTGCACGGCCAGGCAGCCATGTATAATGACTGCACAATCCACGTGCCAGAGACACCCCACCTCCCAGCGGGGAGGACAGGAGGGCAGCACCCCTGGAGGCTCAGAGACAGATGCCTCACGTCGGGATCAGAGAGTAAGATCAGGTGCGGATAAGCAGATGAGATTGTCACAGCATAGGGGATTTTCCCTTCTTAGAAGCTGTGAGCTGGGTATCACTCATCTTTATCTTTATCTCCTGCTGATTTTCCCAGTCTGCTCAGAATGCTGTGGCTGGCCCCAAACTGTTACTTACCATTCATGAAAAAAGAAATAGACCCCTGTTCCAGACAAGGTTTACAGGGCTGTGGACCCAGGGCCAGGGAATCC